AAAAAAAAAAAAAAAAAAAAAAAAAAAAAAAAAAAAAAAAAATGGCTAGTACAAAACTTAGGGAGATATTTTGAAGTAGTTTTTTGTCTGTTTGTTTGTTTGTTTGTTTTTCAAGTCAGGGCTTCTCTGTGTAGCTTTGCGCCTTTCCTGGAACTCACTTGGTAGCGTAGGCTGGCCTCGAACTCACAGAGATCCTCCTGCTTCTGCCTCCCGAGTGCTGGGATTAAAGGCGTGTGCCACCACGGCCCGGTTTGAAGTAGTTTTGAAGACAAGAAGATGAAAGTAATCATGGTCCTCACAAGATACATAGATGTCCAGTTGCATATTTTTATTTAAACTTACATCCTTCCCCTTCATAAAAGTAAAGGCATTGGCAGTTTGAGAAATTAATAAGAGATACATGAAGAAAAAATTATGTTTGACTTTTGCAAGTCTATACATCTATAAGAAAACCATTTAGCATCTCCAATGAAATACTTGTTCCAATTACAGGGACTCATAAGAGTGAGTAGAAGTCTAATTCCTAGACTAACATAAGAGATCAAAAGACAGTGTGGCTCTTAACCCAGTAGGTGGGAGGCACCTTTTACATTTCTAGTTTCCCCAGTAGAAGATCAGAAGAAGCCATTCCCACAGGTTGGCTGGTAAGAAACAGACTGGCAGCTTTTAGAAGAGAAGCAGGTTGGGCGGTAAAAGCTGGACCCACAATTTAGGGTTGAAAAATTGCGAGTACCACATCCCACTGACTGGAAACCACGGGATCCAAAGCCCAGGGTTGGGTAGCCACAACCAAAAGACTGGAAGCCCCTGGAACCGAAGCCTAGAGATCCTGAGAAAGGTGATTGGCAGGGTCTGCAGGACACTGGGATCCTCTGGTGGTAGCAGGGCCTCTGGCAGGGTCTGGAGACCACATAGGATGTGTGGCAGGTGGTGGGCTCACAGAAGGTTTCCTGACACCCACTGTGGAGAGAGGAGCCCAACTGGTGGGTGATGGGAGTTTGGAGGTCAGTGCTGTAGAAGACATTGTTGGGGTAGGAGGAACCACAAGAAGAGATCCGGTGTTGCAGGTGGCCCCCCAAGGACTGGGAGAAGTTTCCAGAGCAGCTGTTGCAGGACATGTTGAGAGGAGAGAAGACTTTGCGGAGGAGGATGTTCAGAGTTTGAATGACCCTGTTTGGACATACGGCATTTATATACCCCTGTCCTTGGGTGCGTCATCCCCATAGCGCATGAACACAAGTTACCTCCGGCTTTAATTGAATGGAAAATGCCATAATAGTCATGCATATTTACTTTTCGTGTGGTTTCAAACTGGATAGAGCAGTGATGTCTGCGGCCCTGGAATTCAGGTAATAGTGTTCAGTCTTCAAAGCTATTATTCATCTTCCATCAGCAAAAGGTCACCCTGCACATCACTCAGAAAACTGCTTTAGAGGTAGACTGTCTGGGCTGAGGGAAGCTAGCTTAATTAAAAATAATTGATACCCGTTGCACAATCTGTCCAAAAATTGTTGCCATCTGGCTAGGAAAGTTGTTCGCTGATCCACTCATAGTCACTTCTTTTAAACAAAAACACGCACTGATTACTGCCTCAAAATGGCTTCTGTGATGAATAGTATCATCCAAACACTGATATGCAAGATGTATGAGGACTTAAAAAAATTGTACCTCAGTTTAAATGGCTTTACTGTAATAGGGAGAAATCCTTATTTCTCATGCATCTGCCTAAGAATGGAATCCAGATATTAAATGCCAGTCATAAGGTGTGTGTGTGTATGTGTGTGTGTGTGTGTGTGTGTGTGTGTGTGTGTACCAGTGGGTGGGTATGGGGGTGGGGCCGGAGTGGTTAACTGTGCGGTGAGCTAAACACTCCATGCTTTGTGCTGGTTTGAATGCTAAAGATTATTTACTTAAGATGATAAAATGCATTAAAAGGAAAAAATCTTGAGGTAATGATGTTCAATGTATCTCTATCTCTAATGAGGGTTATGATTTCCCACTGAAAACAGTTTCCATAACCTGGTAAATGTCCTCATTCTAAAGAAAGCTTATAAAGCAATTGCCTTGAGGTGTCAGGCCAAAGCAGCCATAGCCAGAGATGCTTCCTCTGCCCTGAAGGCAGCATATATCACTTTGACTTAAATTGTTTTCAGGTGCTTCTGACAAGTATCGCAACATGTCCAAAGTGAGGGTCATATTTCCTCAATTTCCATGGCTTGTGTTCCACCTCAGTGCAAGAGTCTAATGAAGACTGATGCTTGGATCTGGAGGAGGAGAAAGTGTAAAGGGCTATATTGGTGTGCCTTGGGTGCTGTTTGATTTGTTTCATATTATAGAACAACATTTCCTTCTAGTTCTGAACGACAGCATTTTTTTTTTTTTTTGGATGAGAGAGCATCATTTGCTTTCTTTATTTCTTCTTCTTTCCTTCTTTGTTTTGTTAACTTAAAATGTTCAGACTCATAAAAGTCTAGAATTTGTGGGAGATTTTAGGAAACATTTCCAGCTTTTTTTTTTTTTTAATCAGATCAGAACTCTAGTTACAGCAACCTGATTCAGTATTCCCAGAACTCTGGGATAGAAGTTTCTTTATCTACAAGAACAGCCCATTTTGGATTTATCCTTCAAGATTAGACCAAGTAATCACAATTCTTCATAAAATTAGTCTCAGCTCATTTTCAATGTAGAATATAATTTATGCCAAGAACAGATGATATACAAAGTTTTTCCATTTCCACAAGGTTATTTAGGCAATTTCCTGTACAATTAGCTATGTTGTGCCAAATGGGAAAGTACAGAAAAATCCCAAGACTTAGTTTTCTAGGGGGAATATATAAGTTAATTGATAGATATACAATTAACAACCCCAAAATCATCTCTTCTCCAATTAACATTCTCTTCTCTTTTGATAACCTTCCCTACCCCCATTTCAGTATATAAGGGTCATTTGTATAACCATGAATTCTTCAAATCCTTGATCTTTCTGTGACATTTGCATGCAACAGATACTTTCCACAATCTTAATTTTTTTTAAACTTTATGCAGGAAAAAAAAAAAAAACACCATCTGAAACAAAATGAGTATGGCCATGAAACAATGTTTATGCCTTGCTGCTTTGTTGTCAATGACATCAAGAGGGGAGAGACTCAGTTTAGGAAGAAAAGGGTATTTTGATAATCAAGCTTGTTAAGTTTATGAATGACTTCCGCCACAAAGCAGTGAAGGTGTGGGGACACTGGATTCTAATTCAAAAAATAAAAGTGAAAAGGCTGACAGCATACCCCAGTGTGGTAGAGCTTACATGAGGCTCTGAATATGTTACTCAGAGGGAACGAACAGAAAAGAGGGAAGAAGAAAACAAAAGAAGGGAAAGGAAGGCAAGACAATGGAGGGATTCTGATTCTGTGAGAAACCTTTTATAATATAATTAATGTTCTAAGCACTCATGCAAACATTGGTCCTCTCAACTTTATATAATCATGTACACAAAACACAGGCTGACAAAGTGTATCATGAACAACGTTGATCTTGAATTTTTTTTCCTTCTGTGGATTAGTATTCTATTGTTCTCTTCATAACATCCACAACATTTGGAGGAAGAAATATAAAATGGTGATTTCTTTTGTCTTCAATCAAGTTTCTAAACTTGGAGCATCATAATTCTATTTCTAGAATACAAACTTTGGTAGAGTGTTGAACTCTGCAGGATTATTGCTGCATCATCCATCGGATCATATCTTGAAGGCAGGAATTAAAGCATCTATCTACCTTAAAGACTCACTTATGTTGGCTTTCATTCGACTTACTGGAGATATTGAGAAATTGCATTTTTGCTTCATGAATAATTGCTTTGAAAACTAATGAAATTCCTTCATTTAGAAGTACACATTCATAAAAAGTCCTTTGAAGGTTAAAGTATTTCATTTTTACTGGAGCCTAATTAGGCCTTCTCATTAAAATCGACAAGGACTACTACACCCATCTCTCTGGTATATAAGGACCCGTGTCAGATGGTGGCATTCACACTCGCAGATTCATCACTGCAACTCCACTGAAACCAGAACTCCTGACAACATGTCTTACGCTTGCAACTCTGGAAACTTCTCCTCCCAGTCTTTTGGAGGTTTCCTCAGGCAGCCAGTCTCCAGCTACAACTCCTTCTACCCCAGCAGCAATGTTTTCTATTCTCCAAAGAACTTCCAGCTAGGCTCCTCTTTCTACAATGGACAGCAGGAGACCTTCGATGAGCCCCTGGAGTGTCACTCACCATGCTGCGGGACCAGATCCTTCCAGGCATCCTGCTTCCGGCCCAAGCAGTACTTTTCCAGGCCCTGCCACGGAGGCTTTACTGGATCTTTTGGATATGGCAATTCGGGTTTTGGATCTTTCGGGTATGGGAGCTCTGGCATTCACTCTCAGGGTTGTGGGTCCAGCTTCTACCGCCCAGGTTACTTTTCTTCCAAGAGTATCCAGTCGTCCTATTACCAGCCAGGCTTTAGCTCTCGCTTTTGCGGGTCTGGTTTCTGAACATCCCAGTTGTCTCATTGATGGTTTCTTCACCTTATGGAATTCAAATGGCACCTCCAACATCTAGGATTTATCGATGAGCATTGTCTCTCTAGGACTCAGCATCATAATCTACCGGGAAGCAAACGATTTTCTGAGGACAGAGTAACTTGAATCTTTGACCTTTCAACTCTACTGCAAGAGAGAGCTGGTATTTTAATTATTATGTAAACGCTTGGATCTTTTCTTTTACCATCCATCCCTCTAAATTTCTTCTCTCATTATTTCCTTAAGATTCCTCCACTCAAGTTCATTTTTAATAAACTTACATCTCTAGCATGAATTTTGGCATTCCAGTTTGTTTTTGTTCTTGTTTTATAAATGACATATTTATTCAATGCATCTGATACTTGAACTGTTTTCAGATTTTTTTCCCTCTCTCTTACATTTTGTCTGATAGAAAAGCAGAAGCATTAGAAGGAAATTCATATTTGTGTCCTATGTCATGCCATCTTTCATATCTTGAAAGATTTATATTCCCCCATAGGTCCATTTGTTCATTTAATTACTTCAGAGATCTTGTTTTCAGTGGGGCATTCAATGGAAAACAATTATTGAGTGTGTATTATAGAACAAACACTGTGATGAAGAAGATGTGGATTCTCTCCTTTCAAGAAGTACAATTCTAGCTTAACATCGTGTGACAAGTCAATAGTGTTCCAAAGAAACACTAAGGAGGGCTTCACAAAGAGGCACAGGATGGTCTGTAACTCCTCATTAAAAGCAGAAAGCGTTAGTTATTTAGTTAGTTAATTACTTCATTTAAATCAAAAGAGTCTTACTGATGTGTCACATCACTTGGAGTCCATTGAAGGGCAGCTGACACAGGGGATTTGGCAGGAAGGGATTTGTCACTGGCGAGCCCCAGTGAGGGAAATGGCAAGATATCTGGAAGGTATGTTTGAGCCTCAGAAGGGCAGAGGGAGGGAGAGATGGTTAGCTCAAAGATCCCTTTTGTGGGGGAGAAAGGATACTAGAGATGAACCCAGTTTGTTGTACATGCCAAGCCATTGGCATATAAGTAAGATACTCCTGAGTTTTAAAATTATTTTACTTTGAATAAGGTCTTGAAAAATTGCCCACACTAGCATCAAACTTGAAATTCTCTTGCCTTCGCCTCCTGGGTAGCTGAGATTATAAACATATAGCACCACACCTAGATATTTAGAGAAGAAAAATAAACCCTCCAAAATTTTCTTGGCAAGTTAGCTGTCTAAGGAGACCTACAGCTAACAAACAACAGGTTTGTCCTGTTGCCACTGAGAATTGATTCACTGGGAAGAGAAAACGAGTGGTAGATACATACACTAACTAACTGATAGACCTGTCGATCAATAATACTACCTAACATAGGAAATATGAAGATTACCATTTCATAGTATTCATGGTAAGTGTTTGTTCTGTTTTTAAATAAAGTAAAGAAAAAAATCACTGATAGATGAAATGATAAACAATTATATTTGATCTTCCATGATTTTCCATGAGTTGCCTTAAGCAGAATTTGTTTGATAAAAATCAATTTGTCAAACCATGTATAGGACTAAGTAGATGAAATTCCAACTTTGTAACTGGATATGAGAGAGGACTGAGAATCATTGGATAGTTATCTTTTGCTTTAATTAGTATTAGGCAGAATGCTTTTAATAGGTTAAAGCCAAGAGACTATTTCATTTTGTTTTTCTCATACCTCTAAACTATGTTTTTGGTGTGAGGCTCTGAGTTCTATGAAACCCTCAGTAATACAATGGAAAAGTCTATTCTCAAACTAAGATTCTAAGAAATATTTTTATTTCATCTTAATAGCTAAACCCTACCTAATATTAATAAGCACTTGTACAGCCACATTTGAAAATATGCCCTTTCCTTCTCTTCTGGCTGTGGTGAGGTGCTACCATCCTTGCTTCTTGGAGGCACTTCATTGTGTCTGTCTTTTTCTGGTACCTTGTTGTCCACAAATGTAGGCCTCCTCACTTATAAAATAGTTTAACCTAAGAGGAGAATGAGTGGAAACTTAATGACAAGTCAGTACTTTCAGTTTCAACACAATGCTTTAGAGGACCAGTGGCCACACTACTTGGTTCTTCATTTCAGAAAGCTTTGTATGGAAGAAGCCAAGGTTAAACACAAGAAAAATTTCACTAGTGTTTCAAAAAATTCATATTGACTAACATATGGATGACCATAGCATAAAAGACCCATGTAAGCAATTCTTTAATGAAGCAACAGTTTATATATGGAAGTATTTATTTCTATATGCAGTTATATATTTCTGCCTCCTCTCCTTGCAGAATTATTGTGGATTCTATTGTGTACCACATGGCTTAAAGTTAGAATTCAACAACAACATAAATCTCAGCAAGTCTACAAACTCATGGAAATTGAACAATCATCTGAATAATCCCAATTTCATTACAAAAAAATTTTGTTTAAGGAGTCTCTTTCTGTGTGTCTCTCTCTGTCTCTCTGTATCTGTCTGTCTCTGTCTCTGTCTCTCTCTCATCTCTCTCTGTCTCTGTCTCTGTCTCTCTCTCTCCTACTTCCTTCCTCCCTCCTCCCTCTCTCCCTCTTCTCTGTTTTCCTTCATGCCTAGCTCCCCTTCTTTCATCTGTCTATCAATCTATTGTGTTGCAGAGAGATTCTCAAAGTCACTCACATGACTATAGCATATCAAAGGATGGAAATTCATGGGACATTTCTATTATAGTATTTTCTTTTACATGTTCTGTGATTTTCATCTTCTTCATAGACCTTTAACTGAAGTCTTCATCATGACACTTACCTTTAGGTTGGATCAACCAACTATAAATTAGAATTGCATCTACAAAATACCTTTATAATGACTTCAAGTTTATATTTTATCAAACAGCCACATACCACAACTGAGCCAAATTGGCATGTAAAATTTACCATGAGTGTCTATTTCCTAGAAAACCTGGCTTTTGACAGATTATTTCATAAGTATAAAATCTATATGGCTACAAAAGACTCAAAACAAGAGCAAATGAAACTCTTAACTCATAATCTTCCTTTATTTTCTAAAATTTATTTTCATAGATTTTTTTTAAATCTTAGATCCTAATGTGAAATTTATATAAGATTTTCAGCATCATTTAACTAGTACTCAGTGGAATTTGTAAGTTTCTCAATGAAATACCTGTGCATATTCAAACAGTTGATATTTTGTGCCGTGGATTCCTTGGCACTCTCCAGTGATGCGTTGGTGAAAACACAACAGTGTACAAAGCCCAGCTGCATATGTGAGGCATGCTAGGACAGAGGGTGGTATTGAAAGAGTCTGGACCTATTGGTCCATTTTATGATGTTTCTGGCCAACATATTTTTCATGCTTATTTTGTTCTTTTGTGACATTTCTGTCATGTCCTCTCTTTTTCATACTCTGCCTTTTATAAATGTGTTTCTTGAACTTTAACCAAACATTAGCTGTTTTTGCCCACTCAGTGTTGGGTCTCTATTCACAATTGTATTGGATACTCTTTATTAGAATTTGAGTTCTGTGTCTGATGTGAAGATATGAGATAACCTCGTCCTCTAAACCACAGTAGCAATGTCCAGTTGAGACAACCAAAAATGTCCTGGATTTTGCTAAATATTATCCCTAGTTCACTGGTTCTCATACTGTGGGTCATGACTCCCTTGAGGGTTGAACAATTCTTTCACAGTGTTCACACAAGACCATCAGAAAACACAGATATTTACATTACAATCAATAACAGTAGAAAATTACAGTTCTGAAATAGAAATGAAAATAATTTTATGGTTGGGGGTTATCACAACATGAAGAGTTGTATTAAAGGGTCATGGCATTAGAAATGTTGAGAACCACTGCTCTCGGCAATGTTTTCCGTACTTGAAGAGTCACAGCTTTAGATCTATGTGCTAGGAAGGAATTCTGTTGGTTTGTGCTTAGCTATGCACACTGAACTCTCATCCTTTGATGAAGAGAATAGAATACTGTGGATTCAACATAATATCACTTTACTTATGGATGAGGAATTCAAATTATAATTAAATAAGTAACTTTGTACACATAAACCTAAAATAATGACAAGATGGTTACTTGACAAAGAATAACTATGTTTAATTTCTGATGGAACTGCAATTAGAGAAAAGTAATGATGGCATTTTGGTATTCTCCTCTCTGTTCTAAAACGCTTGTCTATTGCAGTCATGCCCATCAGGGTTATTACAGATCTAGAAGTGATAGTAAGGCATAATTTGTTCTCGATGTTCTTTTAAGAATCAAAACTACTTGAGATCAGGTACTAGTTCATGAACAATTTCACTGTCTTCTGAGAGTTACAAGAACTTTCCTCATTTTGTCCTATTCATTCTATGTAGGGTACACACTGAGGACTTAAGATAATTTTTGAGAGCATGGCTAAAAGTTATGGAATTGACCATACTACATTTTTCCTTCTAACCATCATAGCCATTACCATGGGTTTATAAGATTCTTAATATCTCATTAAAAAACAATTAAATTTAAATAGGTTTAAATTTCATTAAAATCTTTAAATCTCATTAAAGACTGTTAAAGCTGATTTCTATGAACATCTTCAGTTCTTGCCAAAGTACAGTTTAAAATAAGAAATGGTAATATAGTTGACACATAGATAACATTCATATCACATATTAACTACAATTTTAGTTAGAATGATTGCTGTAGTATTATGTCTGCTTGTCCTGGTGGGGGATACCCATAAATGTGGTTAAATATCTTTCCTAGATGTACCTATCAGAGTTCCTCTACATGAGATCACTGTGTGAATCTGTAGACTCAAGTAAAGACAATGAGCGGAGGCATCCTCCAACCTTCTGGGTTCTGAAAAAAGAGATGGAGGAATGATGAACTCATCCCTTTTTGTGCCTGCCTACCTGCCAGATCAATTGCATGTCTTCTTCTCTCTTGTACTGTGGGTTATACTTCAGGATCCCCTAGTTTTTAGGTCTTTAGACCCAGCTTAGACTTCAAGTATATCACATGCTCTTCTATGCTCTTTATATGGAAGATCAAGGGATTTCTCAACTTTCATAGTTATGTGAGCTCATTCCTGATATCAAATATATAGATCTATAGATATACATACATACATACATACAGATAGATAGGTAGATGATTGATAGTTAGATAGAAGATAGGTAGGTAGGCAGATGTGTAGATAGATGATAGATAGATAGATAGATAGATAGATAGATAGATAGATAGATAGATAGATGATAGATAGATAACAATAAATTAAATATGTTAATACAAAT